TGATACTCTGCCGGTATGGAAAATTCAATGTTATAATCCATAAATCAAGTGGTGATATTGCTCGAGCAACTGTGTACCAGTGTTATATGAACGTGACCCAGGGGTCATAGACCTGTTGGAACTAAATTGTAAGTATTTCTGCTATATGAATGCTATCTGGTAAAGTCACACGCCTTGAACAACTGTGTACCAGTTTAATATGAACGTTACCGAAGGGTCATACACTGTTGGAAGTAATGCATAAACATAACGTTCTCGCTGCCGCTATTCATTGTAACGTCACCTAAGTGTGACGTATTGATATTAGAGTTTGAATAGAGATCCATACATTCTAGACGCCTTTGTTATTGTTAGCTATATAGTTGCCCGATTTAACCACTTAACGATATACACAACGTTAAACACAATATAAGTCTTGTATGAACGTTATCAAGTTATATGAACTTTGTATCTTCAAAACTATTTCTCATGCTTGCATGACCATAAAAAAAGTCTTCTTTTTTTTAATATTTCACTTGTCAGAATAATTAAAAATTTGAAATGTTTCCCGCCTTAGCTATCCTACAGGATTATCATGAAAGACTATTTCCCATTAAAAATGTCGCATAGGATTATTTTTTCTCCTAAGGGATTTAATTTGTCCTATGGGATTTCTTTTCTCCTATAGGATTTTGTTTTCTCCCATAGGATTTTCTTCTCTCCCATAGGATTAATTTTGTCCCGTAGGATTTTTTTTTCTCCCTTAGGATAAATTTTGTCATGTAGGATTTTTTTTCTATTGGATACATGTACATTTTGTCCTGTAGGACAGTTTTATTAGGTTTGCTGTTTTTTTACACAATATATTTATGGTGTTGTTTGTATAGTGTTTCCATATTTGATTAAAAATAAAACCTCAAAATAATACATCATGCACTTCAAAAATTCCAATACTTTTATGCTCGTCAATGTGAATAGTCTGCGTGGTCCAGAACATGGAGTATCAAACATCAATAGGAAAGGTATATTTTGACCTTGCGACAATAAAAACATTTTACATCGGATGTGACCTTGAGAGGTCATACCGGTGTTATGTTGCCGCAGAAATTCTGCACACGTCCCTTGCGCTTTTGACTGATAACCGAACGTATTTCGTATAAATACGCGGATATTATCGAGTGCAAAATAACATTCCTTATCGCTTGTTATAAATTCATTTCATCAATGAATACTCATGAAAATAATTTTTAAGAACATAAATAAATAATATGAAAATGTTTTGTCGTTAGAAACATATATATATAAGTAAAACAATCAATAATATCTATGCACACGTACCGAAAAATTGTGTTTGCGGATGAATATCTCGAAAACGCATTCCAACAAGAGCGGGCTTGAAAGAAATTGAGAGGCGAACCCTGTCTGGCAGGTATCATATTACCGCCTGTCATTTATTCATCATCCAACATAACTTGCGGTCATCCGATGTTCAGTACTTCAGTACTTTGATTTAACTTGTATTGTTGGCTTACAGTCTCATAGATCTATATAATTCAAAACCAGAGTTGTAAACTTTACCTCAGAATATGCAAAAGGATCAATGATTAATCGTCCTTCTTAAATAGAACAAGAGTGCACACGCTGAAATGTCTCGCCTGCCTTACTAACCATGATTGGTTTTATGTTGAAAGTCCTAAAGATAAAGTTTTACTACAAGTATCACATAAACTTAAAATTATCAATGATCCATGAAAATGAGGTCAAGGTCATATAGACTAAGACAGACAGACATGTACCCCTTACAATCATTCCATGCATCAAATATAGTTGACCTTATTGCTTATAGTATCTAAGAAGCAGACTTAAACAGGAAAACTTAACTCTGACCAATGAACCATGAATATGAGGTCAAGGTCAGATGAACCCTGCCAGACAGACATGTACACCTTACAATCATTCCATACACCAAACATAGTTGACCTATGGCTTATAGTATTAGAAAAACAGACCAAAACACAAAAAATTAACAATGACCAATGAACCATGAAAATGAGGTCAAGGACAAATGACACCTCCCAGACAGACATGTACAACTTACAATCATTCCATACACCAAATATAGTTGACCTATTGCTTATAGTATTAGAAAAACATACCAAAACACAAAAAATTAACACTGACCAATGAACCATGAAAATGAGGTCAAGGACAAATGACACCTCCCAGACAGACATGTACACCTTACAATCATTCCATACACCAAATATAGTTGACCTATTGCTTATAGTATTAGAAAAACAGACCAAAACACAAAAACTTAACATAGACCAATGAACCGTAAAAATGAGGTCAAGGTCAGATGAAACCTGCCAGACTGACATGTACCCCTTACAATCATTCCATACACCACATTTCCTTTCTCTATTGGTACTGTACACGTATACCTAACAACAAAATTATTTTCATTTACCTGTGTTTAAAGTTATTGCAAATGGATGGTATTTTTGTTCGAGCATATTGTTTTTCTTTAATTGTTTAACATTTCTTACCGATATAACATGTTACTTTTATTATTCTTCCCTTAGTTTATTTATTTTGTATCAAAATTATTTATTTTGTAAAAATATTTCCTTTCTCTATTGGTACTGTACACGTATACCTAACAACAAAATTATTTTCATTTACCTGTGTTTAAAGTTATTGCAAATGGATGGTATTTTTGTTCGTGCATATTGTTTTTCTTTAATTGTTTAACATTTCTTACCGATATAACATGTTACTTTTATTATTCTTCCCTTAGTTTATTTATTTTGTATTTACATTGTGTCATAGGTCAAATTTATTTGTTCAGTGTATGTTCAATGGTGTTGATATGTCCTTTGATTGAGTTAAGCTATTTCAGTTGATATTTTATAGTGTGTCTTTCTATGTTGTGATGTTACACTATTGTTTCAGAAAAAGGGTGAAGGTTTGGTACCATTAAAACGTTTAAACCCGCTGCATTTGTTTGCACCTGTCCTAAGTCAGGAATCTGATGTTCAGTAGTTGTCGTTTGTTGATGTGGTTCATAAGTGTTTCTCGTTTCTTGTTTTTTATATAGATTAGACCGTTGGTTTTCCCGTTTGAATGGTTTTACACTAGTAATTTTTTGGGGCCCTTTATAGCTTACTGTTCGGTGTGAGCCAAGGCTCCGTGTTGAAAACCGTACTGTGACCTATAATGGTTTACTTTTAAAAATTTTGACTTGGATGGAGAGTTGTCTCATTGGCACTCATACCACATCTGACCTACTGCTTATAGTATCTGAGAAACGGACCTTATCACGTAACTTTAACCTTTATCACTGATCCAGGAAATGAGGGTGAGGTCAGGTGAACCCTGTCTGACGGACATGTAGACGTTGCAAGGAACCCATATACCAAATATAGTTATCCTATTACTCATAATAAGTGAGAAATTCACATAACAAAAAAACTATAATTTTTTTTCAAGCAGTCGCTGAACCATGAAAATGAGGTCAAGGACAATGGACATAAGACTGACAGAAACTTCGTAACATAAGGTATCTGCATACAAAGTATGAAGCATCCAGGTCTTCTACCTTCTGAAATATAAAGCTTTATAGAAATAGTTTACGCCACCGCCGCTGCCACCTGATAGTAATACCTGTCTCACTCTGCGACTTTCGTCACAGGCAAGACAATAAAAACAAAACAACTCAACAAAACAAATGTCCTCATGATTTTTACCTTTCAAATAAATGTTTTACCACAAAGAAGCAATTTAACAATGTTTAAAAATACCAAGAAACAGATACTGTGAATAATTTTCATTTACACTTACTAGTTAAGCTTGAAATGACAAAAAAATCAATTTGAAGAGACTGCACCAGTATTTATGTGGTCAATAGATTACGCTTTGTATCTAATAAATTGTTGACGCAGTGATATATTTCGTCTTTATTCAATTTTGATAGTATGATGCAATTGTTTGAAATTAAAATTGTGCAAAATAATAAAAGTCAATGAACCATAACTGAAGGTGCAGGGACAAATAACCATCTTGGAAATGAGAAATGCCAATACTAATACAATTGCATACCAAATTTCACAAGTGTTTCCCTTCCTTAAAACTGACCTAAACACAAACTTTAACATGTAGACTATGCAAAAGTTTCAAAACCAAAAGACCATGACTGAGGGGGCAGGGACTAACAATATCCATGGAAATGAGATGTGCCAATGTCAATACAGCTGCATACTAAATATCATTGACCTACCACCAGTGGTGCCCCTTTAACTAACCTAATCACAAACTAGTAGATTGTTGACGCCGACGCTGACACTGCCAGAAAAATAATCATGTTTAAGTCTGGCGTTTTCTACTTTGTCCAGCCAGGACAAAACCTATTTGTATCATTGAATAGGTTCAAAGGGTGCTGCTCAGGAGAGTCTTGAAGTTGGATGTGCACATATTAGCTCATTTTGAAGACCAAATACATGTGAAGCTGGGAACACTGATGATAGTGCAATTACTTTTATGTGTAGTTGTTTCGTAATATTTCATGAAAATGTTTTCTACCCAACATTCTTTCTTATCCAATAGCAAGGACCACATTTCTCATGAAATAAATGGCAATTTATTACTTTGACAATCCAAATAAACATCTAGAATATTCAAACTATTTCTCATGCTTGCATGACCATCAAAAAAGTCTTCTTTTTTTTTAATATTTCACTTGTCAGAATAATTAAAAATTTGAAATGTTTCCCGCCTTGGCCTTTGATTCTGGTACTTTGACCATTAAATGATTACATTTAGAAACCTTACAAATATTTCACACATTCTCTTTTTTTCTTGAATAATACATTAACTACAGTGTAATGAGGTTTCTTGGCCTTGAATTGAAAATGAAGGACCAGTAAGTTGATGAAAGGACAACCCAGAACCTTTTACAAACAAAATTATAAATTAAAACCTCTACTATTGTATTAAGACAAACAAATTAAAAAAAAAGACAATTATTTCTGACATAAAATATTTATTTTGTATTTACAAAAGAACTATGGAAAATTGATACATCAACACATTTCTTTCCAAATGAAAGTTGTTATTTACACTGGTGAATTCTATCTAAGATATACATCTTTTTCATTAAATGTCAATACTTCAAAGCATAAAGCCTGACTAATAAAAAAAATACGAGTAAAAAAAGTAAGTTCTTTTGTCTAATAATCATACATGCATACATTTGAATTTTAAGGCTAAGTAAAGCTTTCTATTTCTTATCTTGTACAAAAGAGAAGGTTCAATAAGGCCCCAATATGACCCCTACTACTACCTATAATTACAAATTATTATTGAATGGCCTTTATTACAATGCATCATAGTTAAAACAATGAATAGATAGGAGAAATGCTGTTTTTTTTATCTATTAATTTATCGGCATTTTTTTCATGAAATAAAAATAAGTATAACTTTCATTTCCTACCAATTAAAACAGGCTAATTTCAATAGGTTTTTATGCATCATCTTCAAAAGCTTTTCAGCCTGAAATAATTTACTTCAAATTGGGACATAATAGGGCACTTACCACATCTACTCCTTTCAGAATAGAAATAGCAATTTCACCATTTTTAAAATAATCACTGAATTAATTTGTCAAAACACTCACTGAAGCAATTAAAATATTATTTACAAATATTTTGTTTTATATTTACATTTATACAATTGTGAACATTATATATATTGCACTGCTATACATAAACACTTAGTTTTCAAAATAATCATGATTTTTTTGTGTGTTAAAGTTAAAAACAGAATTCCATGCAACAGAGGCAAACTATAGTACATCAATGCAGATGATATTTTGCTTCATACAGACATCTGCTAAAACCCTCAATTCATAAGGAAGTCCAGACATAGAAGTGGTGTCAGTATGTCTTCCTTCCATGTTTAATTGGAATGTCTAATAACACCATAACATATCCAACAATAAGCCAAACTAAGTATCAGCTTCAAAGCTTTTAAAACTTTATATCCATTGGGCCAAAAATAAAATTTAAATTGTTTGATGTTGCCTACCTACCCGAAAAATTTTATGACACAAACTGTTTCCAATTTTTTTTTAAAAGATTTTTTCCTGCTTTAACGTCGTTTTCTTGTCTAAAACATGTAACAAAGAATTTTTTAAGGGTGGCCTTGCATTCAATCGATTCAGATTTTAAATTTAGAAATGCCTTTTCACCTTTGTGTCAAATTATACATTCATACCATTTCAACAACATTAGTTTCTAAAATATTGGCCAAGATAAAACGGTTTGAAATGATACATTACTAACATGTTCATTGATATATATATTCCATTTTGCTTTAAAAAATAAACTCATGAAGTAAAATTTGATAAAGTCACTACAGCTTTAACTCAAATCATTGTGACTTCTATATTGCAGAGCTGTCTTTACAAAAGGGCAGCAGTAGAATGATTTATTACTACAGATATTTCTAAAGTCACTCAAGAACAACACTTTGTGATCGTGACTGAAATTTTGCTGTATAGCAACTTAATAAGAGAGTGAAATATTATACATAGCTACAAGTTTCTGGGAATTAAACTTGACACAAAACATGCTGTAGTCATTTCATTAATAGCAACACAAATTTGGCAGCACAGTGCTCATTAGAAGATGGTTTATCTATCAAATGTTCCTATGAGGTTCATTACAGACAAAATATAAAAAATACAATTCAGTAATAAAAATCAGTTTTGAGGTCTTAAACCCGTGGTCGATGTGTGACAATCCTGACATTGGTGTTCCTATTAAATGTCTGTATGTGGTTGTTAATTGCCGCCAACATATAATCCTCCATAGCTGGTTGTGGATGTTGTGGTTTCTTGTATCTTCCCATATTTTGTGGCAAGGGAGTCTTTGGCGCAGGACGTCTTCTCTTCTCCAAGGCTGATAAGTAGTTGATCCACCAAAGTTCATCTTCTCTATTTAGTTTACCATTCTTTACCCATTTTGGTAGATCTGTTCTCATCAACAGAATGATACCACTAATTTTTTCCTTATTCGGTTATACCAACCATGAGGAATGTCAGCTTGATCTGTCAAAAAAAACATAAATAGATATAGATTTGAAATAAGTAACTAATGCTTCAATTCCAATTCTCATATAGTTCAAATAAAATTACATAGATGCCAACCCTTTTTTGGTGCAGGATAATAACAGAAAATCAAGTCTCAATATGATCACCACAATATCTAGTGGGGACTGTTCTGTTCAACACAAATAATTAACAGAACAAAAACAAGCAAAATATGGACTATAGCACGTTATGGTCTATGGTCGGGAAATAATTCCAATTACTGAAAATCGTAATTTTTGGCATCTATACATTTTACTGACAATTTACAAACTTGACAAGCTGCTCAAGGCAGTGTCACTGATCAAATGATCAAGTTGAACTCTTAATCTGTGTTTTTAAATGAACTTTAGAATTTCAGTACATTTTAAGCAATTGAATCAATTGTGATTTTTAGATTCTGTGACATCTGACCTACTATAAGGTCATACGACTAGCACTTTTGCTTTGTTATGTGAAACATTTTCTCTTTTGATGATATAATTTTATAGGAAATTTTGTGAAATTTTGTAATGACAAACATATACATGATATAGTGATAAAGTGTTTAAATTTGCAATAAACGAATATTGGAACTAAAAATGTTTTGCATGCTGTAATGTCTTAATTTAACAGTAACTGGAAGTAAGGATAACAAAAAATCATACATGTATGCAAAAGAACTTCTATAATAATATTCAAATACCAAATTTTGTTACCATGGTAAGTCCATCTATCAGTAAAAAAATGCAAAAGAATAAAATAAATAATTACCTTTTTTACAATTTCCATTTTCACCAATATTGCTAGGAACATTATCACAAACTTATTTTTGTTGTCATCAGTTTGAATATAAAGTGTAGGAGGTAAACCACCATTTTCCTAAAAGAAAAAAAGTGAAACAGCTATACATATTATATATTCATGATATCTTTACAATAAAAAGTTTTCCAATCCTTTAATACTGAACAAGACATATTACCTAGCATATAAAGTATGCCAAAGTTAAAGTAACACAGCTGAATTTTAAGAAAAGATGTATTTTCAACAATGTTAATTTATGGTGAAACTGCATGAATAAATTGTTTCATTTCACCTCTTATCATGAGATAGGCAATTTGTTCTCCACTTTTTCAGTGAATTTATCATATTTCTTCGAAAAAAAATAGATCAAAGACTAAAATGACCGGGTTGCACACATTGTTTCTTAAACAATGGAGAATGGTCTATGGGTATCTGGGTTGAAAACTGTAGGAGTTGATTACACAAAAACTTGTACCCTCTTTCATAAATTTTGCTGAAAAGTGACTAAGTTTCCAAGTCTGGAAAAATGAGAAAAAATTCCTCAAACAATTCCATAATAGCAGGTGCACAACTTTCACATATGTGCAATCTTCCTGTGAAGTTTCAGGGATCTGGGTTGAAAACTATAGGTGGAGTTGATTACACAAATTAGGTACCCACTTTTCCCCGCCTGCCTGCCTGCCCATCATCACCATACTATAATCCCGTTTCCCGGCCAAAAATTTTGCTTATATTTCCATAATATTTTACTTAATTTTTGGTATAAAGAAAACCATTAAATACCACAGAAAATAAAAATGCAATTGAAATTTATAGACTATATTATTAATAATGTTCATGCATTTAGATATATATATAATTCAGAAATGTGAATGTGAAAATAATCCTCCATCAAATGAGATTTACATAGTGTTCAAGTGCAAAAGTAAACAAAATAGACTTTCAGAATTGTTTTTTAAAACTATCAGGGTCAGCAAGAGATTGACACAAGCATGCTGTTGGTTTTCTTTTTTGAATTTGTTTTCCATTTTGTCATCACATGGCATTTTAGCTAAGTATAGGGTATGGGTTTTGCTCACTGCAGAAGGCCATACTTTGACCTGCAATAGTCAACATCATTGTCCGTTAGTCTTTATGCATAATTGTTTCATTGGCAATCATACCTATCCTTATTTTTATATGAAATATATAGCAACATTACACCCACCACATCTGTCAATGACTTTTAAGTATTGATTTTGAGAAAAGCCTACAAAGCAGGGTTAAGAACAATACTATAATTGTATTCATAAAAGAAAAGCAATTATAGGCCTATCCTCTTATGATGTTTATCATAGTCATGAAAATGAAGCCACCAAAATTTCATACTGATTTCCATACTTGTTGCAAACTTGGCACCACACAGTCCAATAATGAAAAGTTCATACAAGTTTATAACTGTTAGTGATATCGATGTATCTAACTTTAAGGGTTTTAAAGCAACCTTGTCAAATTATTATTTCCAATTTAATATAATATGCTAGATTGGACTCATCTGTTATTTTTCATGACTTTATCATGTGAACTCTTTGGATAGTTGTCTCATTGGCAATCATACCACATCTCTTATTTTTTATATTGTAGATGGTTCTTTGATGTTTAAAATTAATGGACTAAAAGTGGCTTCCATACACTTTGACTTTCTTGTAGATACATAAATTGTAAAGTTAATAAAAATGTGTTTTTCTCCTGCATGTGAACTTTAGTCAATTGTTTCACTTTGAACTTGATAATTAATACTTACTTTTGTTACATCGCCTAACACAGACATCAAACAATTCAAGGTGATATTACAATCAGAGGAAAACTGATCTTTCCATGTAAATGTGTATGCCTTATTTAATCCGTGACATAAAACACCTGTGACATGGTGGTGCATTTTTTCAAGTGTTGTTTCATTCTGAAAAAAAATTTGTTGAAAAACATGTGCTCATAACTTAAACCAGAATGCACTCACAATTCAAAATATTGGCAAACAGGAAGTAGTCATCTGACATATCTGAAAGGTGCACACTTAACAACTCATCTCTGTTGAGCTGCTGACCAAATAAAAAGTCATTGTGTTCAGTAGTTTCTGAGAAAAATGTGACAAAAAAGGTTAAGTTCATTCAAATATTGAAAAATTCAAAGTATTAGTAAACAGGAAGTAGGTATCTGACAGATCTTCAGATGCTTCACATATCACAAATCATCACTGTCAAGCTGCTGACCAAATATGAAGTCATTCTGTTTAGTAGTTTCTAGAAAAGTTTAACGAAATATTTGTTGTACAAACAGATAGACAAGGTGATACCAATATAGCCCCCCCTTCTAGAATGGTATAATATTTGTCTCATACAAAATGCCTAAAAGAAAATAAATACTGCTAGAAGTTTTTTTCCTGTCAGAATGTTTATTTTAGCTACACATCCAGTTAGTTCATATGATTGCTGCTTCGCCTTAAGTTAATCAATCATTTAATAACAAGTAAATATAGTACTAAATAAAATGTCAACACAGAGATAGGTTTCCCATGTGTGACCTTATCACAAATTCTAACATTTGCCTGACATTCGTAGCAAAATTAAAAGAGACCATTCGAATGATATACCAAATATTTGTAAAAGTGATTTTATAAAGTACAAATATGATTAATCTAACACTGTCAACCCGTTTTCAATATTGAAATTGATTATTGCAGTGAAATATCATGTTCTTTTCAGAAATATACATAAAAGTAACTACCATGAAATGTATTATGTAAGAAGTATGTAGTGATGTATCATCCCAGTGGTCAGACCAAATAACCTAAATCTAGTTGTATAGACATAATGGACTTTGCAATTTTATACACACTTCCAAAATAAACTCACCTTAAAATGTAACATAAATCTTGGCAGATTTGTTTTGGACTGATCCATATTGTCACTGATAACAGATGTATACATGCTTGGATGTTCTTTGGATTTCTTGATGTGTTTAAAATATTTTTCTCTGCAGAGACTGAAAAAAAAATCAAAATATATACAATATACCCACAAATGGCAGAATTTCACTGATGCACCACTATCAATACACCCCAAAACTCAAACGGGTTTTAAAGTTAGAGAAAAAAAATGTATTTAAAAAAAATAAATACGCACATGGATGCACGACTAAGTTGCGCTAATTCTATGACCATGACTTCCTTATACCCAACACACCTTCTAGAAGTGGTGATTAATCATGCCAGGTTTCATTACCCAACATCAAGGTGTAGTGATGTTAGGAAGCGTAAACTATCTTTATACCTATGCATGGGGGTGACTAAACTAAAGAGCCTGTGTCGCTCACCTAGGTCTATGTGCATCTTCAACAATGGACATTCTCCAACATTGTAGACTAAAATAGAATTTATGACAATAATCTCTTTTTTGTTGATATTGTATTGCTGATCATTTTTCTGTTGATAGTTTCTCTCCATCTTCTCTAGTTTTTGCCCAAAACACAAAAAAAGGGTAAAAAAACAGTAATTTAAGGGCAATTACTCATATAAAGTGTCTACTAAAGATTTCAGCAAAATTTAACTTGTTTGTAGATCTTGCCTTGCTAATCATTTTTGCTTTTTAAAGTGTATCTATCTTTTATAGTTTTCAAGATAATAGGCAAAAACACTAAAAATTGGTAAATATCGCCATTTAAGACCAATAACTCCAATAAAGAGTCAACTGACGGTTTTGATGTAAATGGACAGAAGGTAGATCACAACATTCTGAACATTTCTGCCCTGTCAGATTTATCTCTATTAATAGCAGTTTTCAAGATAATAGACAAAACTTGCATTTTACCCCTATGTTCTATTTTTAGCCCTGTCAGCCATTTTGGTTGGCAGGCATGGTCATTGACCACCTTTTTTATACTAAATACCCCAATGATGATTGTGGCCAAGTTTGGTTAAATTTGGCCCAGTACTTTCAGAGGAGAACATTTTAATGAAAAACGACGGACGACAAGTGATGAGAAAAGCTCACTTTGCCCTTTGGGTCAGGTGAGCTAAAAATGGGGATGTATCTGCATTAAACATGAAAAATACAAGAAATTCATATTCAAGTGTGGAAAGAATTCTTACTATTGAAGAAGCATATGTGCTCTAGATCTTCTCTTGTCCTTCAGCACCCCAAATCAATCTTTGTCAGTTTTTCGCTGATGGTCTCTTTAAAGATTACACACTCGTTACATTTGCTGAGCTTCTGATACTACAAATAAAAAATTCGTAAGAGGTTCTGCGGAACCCTGTGTCTCGCCTGCTATTGCTGCTGTCAGTGTAAAAGTGTAATGTTGACTTAAAAAGTGAGTCCATTTATCAGTAAAATACAGAATTTAAAAAAAAAAATCAAACTTTTTCTTTGGATGCTTTTTTCATGGTCTTGAAGATTAGCTTCTGTCCAAGTTACATAACAATCTATGAAGGTTTACAAATTTATCATGTCAAAAAAGTTGAATCCCAAACTGTCTGTAAATGTTAACTGTAAAAAACTAAGTCCATCTATCAGAAAAATACTGAAAATGAAAAAAATATATTTTCAAAAGTTTGCTTCAGACATTCTCTTAATCATAAAAAAGCTTCTGCCAAAGTTTCATAAAATTCTATGAAGGTTTGATAAAGTAATTGATGTGTAACAAACTTTAACCCCAGTCTGTATCTATTTGTTAAATGTAAAAATAACTAAGTCTATTTATAAGTAAAATACACAAGTCCATTATCAGTAAAATACAGAAAAATGAAAATAAATATTTTCAAAATTTTGCTCTGGATACTGTATTTTGGTCATAAACAAGCTTCTGTCCCAATTTCCTAAAATTCCATGAAGGTTTGACAAAGTTATTGATGACTGAAAAACTTTAACCTCAGACTAAATCTGAATGTTAACTGTAAAAAAAACTAAGTCCATTTATCAGTAAAATACGGAAAAATGAAAATAAATATTTTCAAAATTTTGCCCTGGATACTGTCTTTTGGTCATAAACAAGTTTCTGTCCAAATTTCCTAATATTCCATGAAGGTTTGACAAAATTATTGATGACTGAAAAACTTTAACCTCAGACTAAATCTGAATGTTAACTGTAAAAAAAAAACTAAGTCCATTTATCAGTAAAATACGGAAAAATGAAAATAAATATTTTTAAAATTTTGCTCTGGATACTGTATTTTGGTCATAAACAAGCTTCTGTCCGAATTTCCTAAAATTCCATGACAAAGTTATTGATGTCTAAAAAAACTTTAACCACAGACTGAACCTAAATATTGACGCCGCCGACGAAGGAATCTAGGATCGCTATGTCTCGCTTTCGCGACATAAATGTCGCAGGCTCAACAAAAAGGACATCTATTTAATTCTATGTACAATTATTAATTTATGCATGAATGGACATTTTTTTTATATGACGGAAGTGTTAACTATCTGCCATAAAGCAGGAGGTATGATATAAATAGCCTTTATCAGGCCAATGAAATTTCAAAAAAAGTTAAGTTATTCAAGACTTTCAACATTAAGTTCATTTTTTTTTATAAATAAAAAGGTTGAAATATAGTAATTATTCTAATTTTTGAAGGCCTAAGGTGACCTTTAGTTGCTTAAATCCATGTCATTTGGACTCTATAGGATAGTTGTCTCATTGGCAATCATACCACATTACTTATTTTATACTTGAGTGCAGAAAGGAAATTTTTTTTCATAAACATGTTGACATTAACATATTTGACCATTTAACACATAGTTTTTGGACAAAATTGATGTCTGTCATGACTTTACCCAAAAATATATTTTATACACATTAACATCTTTGTAAAATACATTTGATAGCATATGTTTTTAGGTAAAGCATTGGCATAATTACTGTTGAGATGTGTCAGACCTTGATGATTTCCTATTTTTCAGATATGATTTAGACATCTGCATATTTTGTTATCAAATTTTTACTGATTATACCTTGAAATGAATTTCAATGAATTTAAGAGCCATTATTGACCCTTCATCATGTTCATAAACCAACACCTTTGTTCTGAATATTATTCCATACAAACCTTTGGAATTTTAACATGAGGAAACTCTTCACTCCACATTCCATAGAACCTTGGGTAAGACAAATAGGGGATTCTAAATTCTCACAGGAAGATTTATAATCCGTCCAAACTTGCAGAAGAGAGAGACATGATGGAAAATGTATTTCTAGTATGTCAGGCTGATCATCACCATATCTCTTGCATAGACCAGACACAAAACTCTTTGCTTCAAGGTACTGGCGACTCTTGTATTGTTGGCTACATCTTTTATCAGAACTGTCTAAATCTTCGTTAGTAGACAAACATTTCTTTTTCATGTAGTAATACCTGAATGTTATAAATGTAAAAAATATTACAGGGCTTATACCACTCCTAATTCATGTGTTTTTTTCTTCGGTTATTTGGGATCCATTTGACCAATCCTTTTATTGAAATTTTGTCTTTTGTCATAACAAACATTTTTCATTTTGTTTTAACTGTGGAAATTGAACACCGTTCAAGTAAATTGTTAAAAAAAAACCTCCAGACTGTACCTTAACTTTTACTTAAAAATGCAAAAAGACCAAAAGACAAACAACAGTATACAAAACACAACATAGAAAACTAAAGACTGAGCAACACGAACCCCATCAAAAACCGGGGGGTGATCTCAGGTGCTCCAGAAGGGTAAGCAGATCCTGCTCCACATGTGGCACCCTTGGTATAAATTACATGAGTGTTTGACAAAAGTTATTTATGTCTAAAAAATGGAGCCAAAGACTGAGCATACTAGGGGGAGGGTTTAGCCAGCTCGAATATGCTTAACCCTGCCACATTCTTTATGTGCCTGTCCCAAGTCAGGACCCTGTAAATCAATGGTTGTTGATTGCTGTCTGTCATATTTTGTTTTTGTTTATTGCTTTAGCATAAATTAGGCTGTTGGATTTCTTGTTTGAATTGATTCACATTCTGTGAGCTTTTTTGCTTACTATACAAAATGGGTTTTTCTTTGTTAAAGGCCTTACAGTGACATGTAGTTGTTTGCATCCTCGTCATGGATAGTTGTTTCATTGGCAATTATACCACATCTCCTTTTTAAATACAAATGTTGTATATATTAAAAATTAACCAGGCAAACTACAACAGAATGTTGAATCGCTACTTTTGATGTTGGGTTGCTGTCTTATGGATGTGTAGCCTATTAACTATTTTATTCATACTAATATGGTATTATACCTCCTTCTTTTTATGCCATACACAATCCTTCATGCATATTCACATACTCTCCTACCAGTCAGCACAAAAGTCAACTGTTTGTCTTCTAAACTGGCATCATTGCACCTGTGTACAAAAATAAAAAACACTTGGAAAAATGTAAATAGATCTCAAGAACACATGTTTTCATCTGATCTGAAAGAAATGAGTAAAATTTATAAAGGATATCCCTACATTATTTGTATGTATCATGAGACATTTTATTTTTCAGAAAATAAACACCATAGTTTGTTCTTGTGTTGTGTCGTTGCACCATTGTCCCAGGTTAGGGGAGGGTTGGCGCCTTCAAACATGTTTAACCCAGCCACATTATGTATGTGCCTGTCCCAAGTCAGGAGCCTGTAATTCAGTGGTTGTCGTTTGTTGCTGTATATCATATTTGTTTTTCGTTTATTGTTTTGTACATAAATCAGGCCATTAGTTATCCCGTATGAATTGTTTTACATTTTTCATTTCGGGGTCTTTTATAGCTTACTATGCGGTATGGGTTTTGCTCATTGTTGAAGGCCGTACGGTGACCTATAGTTGTTAAATTCTACGTCATGTGGTCTCTGGTAGAGAGTTGTCTCATTGGCAATCATACCACATCTTTTTATTTTTCTACCAGATGTCTGCTATCTTTGTTGCAGACAAAACAAAAAAAATATCTAAATAAAACTTACTTTAAATTAAGTTCTATTAGACTTCTTAATAAGTTAAGGTAGCTATAAGCAGAAGGCAGCATGTACACTCAGTATATCAGTATGTGAAAGTACATGTACTTGCCAGTTATTGGTTTGGTGGTTTAATATGGTTTTCTCAACCAAATTATAGCATGTTATATAGCATTATGAAATTGTATAAATCCAAGTATTGTTGCATATCAAACAATCAAATAAATTCTATTCATATATATATATATTGAGTATACCTTATGTTTCACTCAATGAAATCTGACTGTTCCTCATGGGTCTTTTTATACAACATAGCTTGACAGGTCTGTATTGTCTGAATGTTACTGGTACTTAAACATTTTTTCTCACAAGGCTGTTTATAACATTGAAGTCAGTCTCCTTGTCTTTTAATACCTTTGATGTTTTTTCATGTTTCCTGGCTAAAATTAAAAAGAATAAAAGATAAAGTTGTTTGGAGAAATATCAGAGCCTTGCAATTCTAAAAAAATACTTGCCAGTCTATTCTATCTAAAAACCATGACCAAGGTTTGGGGAACAGACTTTTTTTAAATATCGCCTGGTCTTAAATGGAAAGACATGATTCGAAGTCTCATTGATACATATGCCAAATCTTTTATTCAGTGACAATATAACAAACTTTCCTTTTTTGAGAAAAAAGAAAACTTGAAAAATTATAAATTTACTCAGATAACTCTAATTTCAACATTAGTGAACAGTAGATAGTATTGACGTAAAGTCAGATAAGTCTTTTTCAACATAAGTGTATATGTTGGATAAATATAAATTTTTAATGGGTTTGGCGTAATCATGTGTCTCGCCTGCTATTGCTGCTGTTGATGTTAAAGTGTGAGGTTGCCAACAACCAAACTTGTCCATTTATCAGTTATATCTGAATTTTCTTTTGTAAATCTAATGTTTTTTTTCAGATGCTATTTCTTAATCATGGAGATACTTGTCTAAGTTTCGTAACATTCCATGAAGGATAAACAAAGTTATTGATGTCATAAAAATTTAACCCAAGACTTTAAGTCCATTTGTAAATTTCTATTATTCAGTTTATCATGTTTATTAGGGAAAATGAAAAAAATAATTTCAAAATATTGTTCTTGATACTGTCTTTTGATCATAAGAAGCATCTGTCAAAGTTTCGTAAAATCTTATAATGGTTATTGGTGTTTGAAAAACTTTAATCTTAGACTGTATATCAATGTTAGATGCAGAAAAAATATGTCCATTTATCAATAAAACATGGAAAATGAGAATAAATACTTTTCAAATTTTCCTCTGAATACTGTTAAGCTTCTGTCCAAGTTTCATGCCTTTAACATATTTTAATTAATTCTTTGTTCTCACCTATTTTGTGCTTTGCTTTTCTAACATCAATGTAGTCATCTTCTGTGTCACTGTCTACAAAACAACAATAATTATGTCATGCGAGTAAAATAAAATTATTCATGTTCACTCCTCTTATTCTATAGTAGGGGTCCGAAGAACTAGAAATTAATTTGGTGTGGCCTTTTAACATCTTGTTTCAAAAATATTTCATCTTATATGTTACAAATGTGGACACAGACTTGTGTTGTCTGATGGCGAATTTTGATAATGACTTGTGCAGGGGTGGATTCTTGTGGGTACCAGCAGGCGCATTTGCACTCCAAAATCTAAAATTCTGTTGTGTTGTCTGGTGGGCGAATGTGGACACTGTTTCACATTGAAATAGTAATACTGCAGACACATCAGGAAGTCACAAAACATTAACAATGAAGGACAACTCTCAGGAGAAACACTTGAAAATTACTATGACTGATGTGGTTCTACAAATATGTTGCATATTTGATTTTGTCATGCCTAGACTCCCAAGACCAAACTGAAATTTAAAAGATTTAAATAAAAATAAAATTTGATCGAAACTTTGAAATATGAATTTAATGCAAGATAAAAAGGGTCAATACTTCAGAATTTCAGTGAAAAAGTTTGATAATGATAATAAAAATGCAATGAATAAATTTAGCATCTGTTTAGCCTTGTGAGTTTCATCTAATTTACATTGTTAAAAATGTAATCATTTGTCATGGAACGCATTAGTTGGCTATGCATTTGGTATTTGTTTTCATCATGCCTGGACTCCTAAGGCCAAACTTAAATTTAAAGGATTTAAGTAAAAATAAAAGCTGATCAAATCTTTTTAAATTTTATTTTAATGCAAGATATAATAAAATGCTCCGCAGGGCGCAGCTTGATACGACCGCAGAGGTCGAACCCTGAACAGTTGGGGCAAGTATGGACACAACATTCAAGCTTGATACAGCTTTGCATTTGGATTGTGATTAAATATTTGACACAGCATAGGTTTCTGACACAGAATGAATGTGGTCTAAGAACTTAATAATTTTTAATTGAACATTCACCTATTATGGTCCAATATCCAAAATCTAAATACATGGTTAGATTCAGCATATCAAAGAACCCCAAGAATTCAATTTTTGATGAAATCAAACAAAGTTTAATTTTGGACCCTTTTGACCTCAATGTGGACAAAGTTGATAACGGGACCCAAAAATCAAAAATCTAAATACATGGTTAGATTCAGCATATCAAAGAACCCCATATATTTAATTTTTGTTGAAATCAAACAAAGTTTAATTTTGGACCCCGATTTGGACCAACTTGAAAACTGGGCCCATAATCAAAAATCTAAATACATGTTTAGATTCAGCATATCAAAGAACCCTAAGAATTCAATTTTTGTTAAAATCAAACTAAGTTTAATTTTGGACCCTTTGGACCTTAATGTAGACCAATTTGAAAACGGAACCAAAAATTAAGAATCTAAATACACGGTTAGATTCGGCATATCAAAGAACCCCAATAATTCAATTTTTGATGAAATCAAACAAAGTTTAATTTTGGACCCTTGGGACCTCAATGTGGACCAATTTAAAAACGGGGCCCAAAATCCAAAAACTAAATACACGGTTAGATTCAGCATATTAAAGAACCCAAAGAATTCAAGAATAAAACCCCATTGAAATTGGTCAAGAAATAAGCAATTTATAGGAAGTATCTTCTTTTGCACAATACTGTGCAATTGAATATTTCTTGCTATTGCGCAATACTGTACAATTGACAATTTCTTGCTATTGCGCAATATTGTGCTATTGGATATTTCTTGCTATTGTGCAATACTGTGCAATTGAAGATTTCTTGCTATTGCGCAATACAGTGCAATTGAAGATTTCTTGCTATTGTGCAATACTGTGCAATTAAAAATTTCTTGCTATTGCACAATCAGGGCTCACGCTACCAGGCGACTAGGGCGAAGATGTCGCTTTCCCGTCCGTCACTTCGCTTTGCCCGACCTCAAAAGCGAAAACAAGTCGCCCTGTTGTTTACGATACTCGCTTTCAGTCGCTTTCGTCATCGGACATTTTCAATTTTTACCAAGTTGATAAACCATCAATTTTTTATTAATTATTAAAGAAATTCAAAAATAAACGATTCATTTTCTTAAGAAAAGAGGTTTAGGCATTGACTTTACAGTGTGTAGCAGGTTATTTAATAAAAAGACAACTTTTTATCACTGCATGCACTTCTGGTGCTTGTTACTGAGAGAGCGTACATCAATCTAACTTTCGGCGGCAAAATATGTTTGTGACTTCATTTGAAAGTGATAAAAGTTGCCTTCAGTAAATGTTTAATCCATTTATTGCATTAAAAACGTCATATTCCTTTCCAAATAGCTTGTCAAACATCGTTTATTTTTGTAAATTTTCTTCGTCCGCCATTAACCATTTACTAAGTACGGATCGGAACCGGACCAGCTATGACCGAAATCCGTATTTTTACAATAATAACTACGGACGCATGAATGGAACAGCTGACAGAGGAATATTGATCACAAAAGGAAAAATTACGCATTCCACACGCATTAACAGACTTTTGGTTAGATCTAATTGATTAATGTATATAATTCCATATGATTTATATGGATTGTTTCAAAACATTGATTAAAATTGCTTAGCTACTAATATCAATATATTATGGCCCAGCTTAACTTTGTATATCTTTGGATGAGAAACACTGAATTTCATAAACATGATAAATAAGATAGTTTTTAATTGAATTGTAATTCATATATAATAATTTCTTTACCTTTTTGACATAAAAAAAAATCTTTTTAGTGCTAGATATTTAGTTGGTAGTTTCTCACAAGAACCTAAACTTAAACAACTTTGAATTTAATTGTATACTCAGATATGAATTGAACAATATAAAAAGAACATTATTTACATATGACCCTTTATACTATAGTAAAATCAAAACATTGTAGCGCAGCGCGCGAAGGAGCACTTCTCTTTCAAATCTCACCACTTCTCCCTATCAGTTTCAAAAAGAGAAGTCACTTCTCCCTATGATTCTGAAGTAGTGTGAGCCCTGACAATACTTATTATATAAAAATTTACACATCCTGTTTGGTGTGTATCTCCTACCATATCATTATTATTTGCTTTTAAATATAAATCAGAAATAACCAACTTAAAATGGAAAATTTTAAAAGAAAAAAAAAAGGAAAAAAAGAAAAAAAAGGAAAAAAAAAAAAATCCCCCCCCCAAATTTTTTGAACCCCCTTATGATTCATCACCCCCAAACTCAATCCCAGCCTTCCCTTTGTGGTATGGTACCTTGCAGTACAATTTCAGAGAGATCCATATGCTTGAACACAAGTTATTGTCTGGAAAAACTAGAAAAATGTGTTTTTTTGGCCCCTTTTTGGCCCCAAATTCCTAAACGTTTAGGGCAATTACCCCCAAACTCAAACCAAGCTTTCCCTTTGTAATATGGAACCTTGTCGTACAATTTCAGAAAGATCCATACACTTACACACAAGTTATTGTCCTGAAACTAGAAAAATGCTTGTTTTTTGCCCCTTTTTGGCCCCTAATTCCTAAAATATTGAGGCAATTACCCCCATCATCAATCCCAGCCTTCCCTTTGTGGTATGGTACCTTGCAGTACAATTTCAGAGAGATCCATACACTTGAACACAAGTTATTGTCTGGAAACTAGAAAAATGCTTATTTTTGGCCCTTTTTTGGCCCCCAATTCCTAAACGTTTCGGCAAATACCCCCAAACACAATTCCGGCTTTCCCTTTGTGATATGGAACCTTGTAGTACAATTTCAGAAAGATCCATACACTTACACACAAGTTATTGTCATGAAACCAGAAAAATGCTTGTTTTTTGCCCCTTTTTTGGCCCCTAATTCCTAAAATTTTGAGGCAATTACCCCCAAAATCAATCCCAGCATTCCTTTTGTGATATGGAACCTTGTGGTACAATGTCAGAGAGATCCATACACTAACACACAAGTTATGTCTGGAAGTTACAAAAATGCTTATTTTTGGCCCCTAATTCCTTTACTGTTGGTACCATAACCCCCAAAATCAATCCCAACCTTCCTTTTGTGGTATTGAACCTTGTGGTAAAATTTCATAGAGATCCATTCACTTAAACTAAAGTTAGAGTGCGAAAACCAATGTGTCTTCAGACGACGCCGGACGACGACGACGCCAACGTCGTACCAATATACGACCACAAAAAATTTTTTGCGGTCGTATAAAAAGCAATACTTTAATACATCAGAATATTAGAGAAAATTTTTGGTAATCATATATATGATACCAAAAGTGCAATAAACAGATTTAGCGTCTGTTTGGCCTTGGGAGTTTTGTCCCTTTTACACTGGTTAAAATGTTATTATATTTGATGGGACTCATCAGTTGTTTCCCTACAACCCATACATAGTAAGTGCACCCCCCTCTTTTTAACCTCTATAAAAATCTTTGAAGGAAAAAAGGCAATCATACCGCAATTCCTTATTTTTATATTAGTACTTTGTGGATCATGCATATAAAAGTTACTATTTCTTTCTGACCGATGGCTTTTTTCTCCTTTTTTTTTTGTAATGAAAAAATAATCTGATTCCCAACATCGAAGAAAAAAATATTTTGATAGGGGAGAACGGAAAAAAAATTCTGTTTCATACTCAGAGTATTTGTCATTAAATTTTCAAAATGTTTAGTTCTTTAAAAAAATTCTCACTTTGTATGAAAAAAACCCAAATAATTTGATGCTTGCATGGTTTCATAATAAATTTTCAAAATGGAAAAAAAACCATATTAAACCCTTCCCCAAAGTAAAATGGTCCTTAATTTTGTTGTGTTGTATATATACATGTATTGGTATAATGATACATGTATATGATTGATCGATTGTTGTTTGCTTTATGTCCAGTGGAAAATACCTCATGCATGCTCAGGGAGAGAACAAATTAGCAATAAATACAATAGGAAGATTCTGTGCAAGGTAGGCCTACCAGGAAAGGAGGGGTGGATTTGGACTGCCACTGGAAATTAGCGATCAATGTTTGAAATGGGACAGAAATTTAGCCTTGCAACTGGCAACCTACAGAACCTCAAACAGTTGTTGCAATGATTCTTTAATATGTAGAGTTTGTTGCACTCTCTCTGCACGAAGCATCAGATTTAACATCCCCTTTCTGACCGCACGTTCCTGATATATGAATTCAAAAACCAAATATCACTTGTATTTACTAATAAAAATGTATTAATTTAAAAAGAGGGCAAATGAACCCAGGGTTAACAGACTCTGTGGGCGAATGGTTGTAGGGCAAAAATGTTATGTTTGGCGAACAATCCCCATTCCATGGTTATAGGTTATTTGTAATGTTTCTACTTATGCAACAATGTGGAATTAAATCTGCACAGAAAAATTATGGGATTATTTTCAAGGAAAAGAAATATTTACAAAATTGGTTTTGATTTTTGATGGAAGGTGGCCATGGGAAAAGGGATAAACTTATAAGAACTGGTCAGTTGATGACAGAACTGTGAATCTGTGTGGTTAGCCTATATGTTGAAAAGGGGGGGAGGGGGGGGGGGTTATACTTGAAAGGGTAATCATAAATCGAATTTAGAAGATAAGGTCACAAACCAAAAAGTGAGGACCAGCTGTGATTACAGGGTACATGATTTACTTTGCGCCTGTCCAAAGTCAGGAGCCTGTAATTCAGTTATTACTATCAAATCTATCAACTCAAGACGACGATTACATAATAATGTTTTGCTTGCAAGGGAGGTAATTTGTGACACTAGATTCTGATCTCAAATCGATCGATAACCAGCTTTCAGTCTATTTATAGAAATATATGTGTATATCACTTCAGAATTGTAAGGAAAATATTTGCTCACCAAGACGTTCACACATGACGTTAGTGTTCAAGTTGTTAAAATTAACTTGTGAATGGGTGACCCATTTTTGAATTATAGTCATTTTGTACCCTAATCATTTTGTTCCCTCAATTTCGTACCTTGTCAAAAACCATTTCGTACCCTAATCATTTTGTACCCTCAGTTTCATACCTTGTCAAAAACCATTTCGTACCCTGACCATTTCGTACCTTTTATTTATTTAATCAAAACTATTAAAGTTTCCATGTGCTTAATTAAACCAATCACATGTCTTAATTTAGTCTATATTAGGTACGAAATTAGCTACCAATTATTCCCAGCATGCATTGTCACTTCTAACCGCGAAGAGCCAATAAATATTTTTTTTGATATTAGAGTATGTTATAAAAATAAATTGGTTTTTTCTAATAGAATAGACCGCCTCGGTGGTGTAACGGTTAGCGTGCTCGCCTCGAGTGCGGGAGGTCGTAGGTTCGAAATGCGGCCGGGTCAAACCAAAGACTTGAAAATTGGTATTTGCTGCTTCTCCGCTAAGCACGCAGCATTAAGGAGTAAGAGCAAAGACTGGTCGGCCCGGAGTCAGAATAATGTGTCCGGGTAGGGTGACATGTCTTCCTGCGAACTGTTACCTTGTGAGCTAGCACGTAAAAAATCCGGCTCAGCGTGTCGGTCTAGTACAAAGCAGGGTTAGTATTCAATTCTCATTATCATGCTCTCGTCCTGAATATGCATCTGACCTGCCACTGGACGTTAAGCAACCATCCATCCATCCATCTAATAGAATAAAGCAGAAAAAGTGTATTTGTCACAAAAAAAAATAATATGTCCCACCCACTAAAGCATTCCCCCACTTAAGATAATGATTGTCAACTATATTTATTGACAAATTGGCACCAAAGTAACAACATTTGTTGAGGACCTCATAGGAAGGATCTCTACTAAGTTTGGTCAAATAATGACAAATTCTGATTAGTAATTCTCAAACAGAAAACAAGAGTGCACATGCTGAAATGTCTCGCCTGCTTTATATGATTTATTCTATGTTGTAAGTCCTAAAGATAAAGTTTTACAACAAGTATAACATAAACTTAACATTATCAATGATCCATTAAAATAAGGTAAAGGTTAAGGTCAGATAAACCAAGCTAAACAGACATGTACACCTTACAATCATTACATGTCAGTGATATTGTTTGCCTCAGATTACAGCCGAAATTCGGCCTTTTCCCCTATAGAAAATTCCCAATTACTAAAAAAATGGCTTAAAATTCCTCCCAAAAAGTTTTACATTTTCCCCAAACAGTGATGGCATTGGTAGTAATGTTTGTAAATATCGTACTCATGTTATTATTTTGATATTAGAAAGCACTTTTGAGATCCGGTTTTTTGATCAGAATCATCATGGTGTTTGCAACACATGTGGTTTTCAATGCATTAAGTACCATCATTGCTTCTGTTTCTTTCCCGAAAAGTACCTTTCAGGTTGAAAATGTCTGACAACCAAAATATACATGAAAACAACAGTGCAAAAAAGACAGCAAAGGTCAGCAAAAAATCGGAGATGTGTTTAGAATAAAATTTCCAAATTTCCCAATTTCCATAAAAATATGCATTTTTCCCAATAAAAAACGGTAGAGGTAGTTTTGAAAAAAGACAACAATATCACTGCATGTATACACCAAATATAGTTAACCTATTGCTTATAGTATACAAGAAACATACCAAACCAAAACTTAATATTAATCAATGAACCATGAAAATGAGGTTAAGGTCAGATGAACCCTGCCAGACAAACACGTACATCTTGCAATCATCCCATATATCACTTATAGTTGGCCTTATTGCTAAATTATAGTAACTGAGAAACAGACATAACCAGGAAAACTTAACATTGACCAATGAACCATGAAAATGAGGTCAAGGTCAGATGAACTCTGCCAGACAGACATGAACACCTTATAATCATTCCATACACCAACTATAGTTGACCTATTACTTATAGCATTAGAAAAAAAAAGACCAAAACACAAAATTTTAGCATTGACCAATGAACCGTGAAAATGAGGTCAAGGTCAGATAAAACCTGCAAGACTGACATGTACACCTTACAATCATTCCATACACCAAATATTGTTGACCTAATGCTTACCGCATCTAAGAAACGGACCTAAATCATCATGATCATGTAACTTTAACCTTGATCACTGATCCATAAAATGAGGTTGAGGTCAGGTTAACCCTGTCTGACAGACATGTAGACCTTGTCAGGAACCTATATACCAAATATAGTTATCATTTTACTCATAATCATGATAATACATTTGTAAGTAAGAAATTCATGTAACAAAAAAAACTACTTTTTTTTCAAGCAGTCGCTGAACCATGAAAATCAGTTCAAGGACAATGGACATATGACCGACGGAATATTTGTAATATAAGGCATCTATATACAAAGTATGAAGCCTCCAGGTCTACTTACCTCCGAAATATAAAAGCCTAATACAAATAGTTTTAGCCGCTGCCACTGCTACTGGATTGAAATCCCAATGTCTCGCATACCGAGACTTTTTGTTGCAGGCGAGACAAAAATGTCATTCCCAATAGGATTTCAGGGTAACATGGTAAACTTTGACCTTAGTTGATGGCTATATGTATTTACAATCTTCAAACAACTACTAAAGTAACAACACTTATTAACTTGATTAAGACATCTCAATGGGAACATATCTACCAAATTTCAGTTCAATCCAGCATGGGTTCTCAAGAAGATCTTAGAAAATCGGCCAATAAGAAAATTCAATTAGCATGATTAGTCCTGGCAGCCATGCTTTTTGACGAAACAGCACCAAAGTCACACAAATTGGAAGGGACCTCATGGGGATAATCTCTACCAAGTTTGGTCAAATTCTGTTAATTAGTTCTCTAACAAGAAGGAGTCGAAAACCCTAAAGGCCTGCAAGAGGATAACACTAGAAATTGTGTATACAATATTCATATATTACATGGATAGAAGACACAATGATCTGTACACAAATGGGCAAGACTACAATAGCAACAAGGCAAAAACAGCAACTTCCATAATCACCATGATATACCTATTTGACTGTCCGCCGTCTGGTCTGATCTGTATTCCAATCCACCATGTCCATCGATATCTTTCTTCCTTTTCCTCAACCTACTTATACGATATAATAAGTATCATGCTAAAATCCAAATTCTAATACATGTACGACATTCTTCAAAGTTAACACTTTGTCTTTTTATGAACAAAACAGCATTTAATATGTAATATAACCAGAAATACTGTGAGCAAAGCTCACTAAATGATACCCCCTGCTCCCCCCTATGTGATGTTTTGCTATGGGAAACCCCAAAATTCATTTGAATTAAAATTTAAAATAGAAGGTGCACAATCATGGTGGATAACCTACGTCATGTTTTCGAAGGGTTTGCAAAATCTGATTTCTGTTCCAAATGATTAATATGGCATAAAAAGGGGTCTTGCCATTTATTAGTTTTTTATTTGCTTTAGGAGAACTTGAGATATTGTGTCTTAAAGTGGGCTTTGTTTACCTTTTTCGTGGGTTCCTTGTCCGTCAAATCATGTGACAATGACGTAGGTTATCCACCATGACAATAATCTGTGAAAGTTTCATTGAATTTCATTAAGAAATACTGACTAAAGTCAATAAAGTCAATAAAGAGTTAAATATAGGTCACAGTGACTTACTTTGCCTGGATGCTGACTTACTACCCCTGTTCATAAAAGTTTACATGATCCTACAACTTATAGTTGCTGAGATATGAACATTAAACTGAACCAGTCATTGAAGCATGAAATGTGGGTCCAAGTGACCTACCTTTGCCTGATTTCTGACTTACTACCCCAGATACATCTGCATACATATGAGGTTCTATGTGTACATTCCTTGGAGGAAGTTCACCAAGCTATCCGTGAACATGAGTTGTCAAAATCAACTAAATACATGTATATCACAGTTAAAAAAGAGAAGATGTATGGAAAGGAGGACTTTGGTAATTATAGCTTTTATTAGGGTATTTAAATTATATATAGAAGTGTTATCATTTATCAGCAAAAAGTTCCGGTTTTGGCAACTAAACCAGAAAAAAGACAAGATAGTACAGCGATTCATGTTGCCATACAAAAGCAGTGATAAGGTATCAATTTGATGACAGAAAAATAGACGCAATCAAGATTTCATTCCAAATCCATATAAAAAAAAAACATCTTCTGAAAGTGTTACTGCATCTGGAAAATTTGAGATAATGACACTTTTCCTGTTTTATAAAAAAACTAATTGCTCTTTTTTAGAACAAGAGAAAAGATGAAATATTTATTTATTACTTCTATGTAAATCAGATGTAATCGTCTCATATCTTCGGGTCTGACCACCCTCAGATATGAGAAGCTTACATCTAATACATACATGTAACAAAAAATGACCGGTCTAAAAAGAGAAAGTAGATACCATAGGGCAATAAAAAAAACGGACAACACCATAGTGAATAAGAAAAGCAACAGAAATACAGACAACTTAATAAAACACTTCACAGAAAACTAAGATTGAGCAGCATAAACCCTTTCATAAAAAAAAGTAGGGGTGGACAGGTACTCTGGGAGTGTAAGCAGTTCCTGCGGCACTAGTGGCACCTGTTGTGTTGCTTATGTATTCACATTTCTAATTTGGATATATTTCAGCAATGAATGTTATTTTACCTACAATCATTGCAATAGAAACCAAACAATATTGGTAGGTTTAAAAGATATAGATATATATTTACACCAAGATGTCGTTAAATGAAATTGGATATCCTGCATTTATCATGCTTTTCTATAACATATGGTCAAATCGCTGAAAGACCCCCCTCCTAAATTATGGAAAACTATCATTCTGCATTCACAATAATATCTTGGTGTAAATTAGATTCACCCAATCGGGCTTACGCGCTCATAGGTGTATCTAATACATATTGGTAAAGCCAAAAAGGTGCTCCAAATTGGTCAAATAACCATCTGAAGCTTAAATCCCAATTTTAAAATATTTAATGAATGTTATTTGATTACAACTTGTTATTGTGCATCAGTGACATGATGAAGCAGAAGATTTGATAAATATCAAATATCCGCTAATTCAATGTGTCTTGTTATTGAAGTTTGAATTGTCAAACGTAGATCTGTACGTTCCTGTGTCCCAAGCGTGACATGGAAATCCCCTTCTAACAAAAAATATACCTGGTTGTTTTTATGGGCAAAAGAAAAACGGAAAGTAAGTTAAATCGTCAGAAAAGTGTTGTTGCACTATAAATCCGTCAAAGTTTTGCATGAAATGCAATAAAATTAATCAAAGAAACGATTATTTCGACAGGGTTAGTAATGTTATATTGACAATAGACTACAATGGTAAAAATAACGCACGGGGTTTTCCGCGATATCGTCATCTGCGGAACATTTGATTGGTTCCTGTCATATTCATGCGCCGTCATATCTCGGCTGTTTCAAATAGTTCTAGTTTTGGTTTCGTATTCCGTTTTATGAGAAACATAGAATGGCAAGTTTGTAATGTCAAAATAACGTTAAACGTACGTAAATGTTTATTCCTTATTATTGACGTAAAGAGTTTATCCAGGGAGAAAAAATACTTTGTTTCATTTCAAAATTGCTATATATATGAAACTATTATAAATGTAAACATCACTATCATTCATGGATGAAAATGGAAGAAGAACTCGATGGTAAGTTTTGAGCAAAATGTCAAACTAATAACGACCTGGGCGTCAAACAAGGTATAACGACCAAACCATTCTGTCAAATTGACACTGTATTATATAATTTTTGCCAAAATAATATGCTTCGAATGATAAGAACTAACGAAAACAACGCATTCAAACACCCAAGTCAAACCGTTCGTTCACTTTTTACGGTAACATCGATATGACCGTTACTTGACCAATTTTATCAACCCAGTCAATATAACACCTAGGATGTAGATGATCTTTGTAGAGATATACTGCACCATTCTTTTCATTTAACTTCTATTTCAACTTACAGATAATAAAGGGGGAAAGTTAATATACATTTAAAAAGGGTGAAGTAATTTTCAGTGCTTTTTCACAGGGTGTTAATTGACAATTATATGCATAGTCAATATAACCATGGTCATTAAGAGAGTTAGTTGACACCTTAATGTTAGGGTCAATATACATGTAACTCCTACTCCCACAGTAGTCCTAAAGCTACTATTACTACTGAAATATGTTGACTTTGGCTTTTAGCCTACAAATCTCTTGTACAATAAAAAAAATTAAGCCTTTTAGTGAAATTGTAAGCATATTTCCTGCTTCTTTGAAATAGAGCATAAGTTGACGACTAAAGGATTCAAGTCAATATAACAATGGTCCTAAAGTTTATTTTAAGCACTCAACCTCCCCATACCCTTGAATTTGACAATAAAAACATGAATGTAGACACAATGCAAATCAATGTGAAGTGGTACTTATTTCCAATGCTGTTTTCAACATGGATAACATATATATATACAACATCATAAACATAAGAAGATGTGGTATTATTGCCAAAGAAATAACTCTCTACCTAAGACCTAAAGAAGTAAAAAAAAAACAATTATAGCCTATAAAGTCACGTTATGGCCTTCATCATGGAGCCTTGACTCACATTTTCATTCATTTCAATTCAAAATCATGTATAAAACTATTTTAACTTTATTTATTGCTTTTCAGATCTTTGAGATAAATCAACTGAGTATGAACAGTGGAATAGACAGCAGAATGAACTTTAAAAAAATGTTTTTAATTTGTTTAAATAAATGATTTATGGTTTGATTCTTGAATAGTGGTTTAATTATTAGTATTGTCATACAAGAGGGACGAAAGATACCAGAGGGACAGTCAAACTCATACATGTCATACATTAATGTGTTTTATACTTTACTTTCAAAAGTGTTGATTTAATAAGCTCTTGAAAAAAAATTGTTGAAAACAGTTGATCAATAAAGTCACCATCTGACATAGCCAAGAGTATCATAACTGTACATATTAAATGAGCAACCTTTGACCAAAGTACAAAGTCAGTTCAAGTGAGCCTATTTAACAATACTCCTTAATACCAACAGTAAACAATATGTTCCCCTAAATACTGTGAGTAACTCATTAAGTGTATGTTTACCATCAGGCTAAGCTAACTCTTGCAGTGCACCGGATAGTTTTATTGGGTTTGAGTTGTTATTTAAGGTTTGTTCTTTTCTTGTTATTTATCTTGATTTCTCCTCTCCCTTTTGGATTTGTGAATTAGTGCACCTTTAATTTTCTTGCATTCTATAGTTGTCACTTTGATCTGATAGATCTCAGATAGTTTTGGTTATGAGCTTGTGACTTCATTATTAGCTGAACAATAATGAACATGAACCCCTGCATGCATTCAAGAATTAAGTTTATATCGAAATAAACATAATGGATCAAACTCTTTGTGTTCAGATGTTACACCAGATTTCCTGTTTTTTTCCAGTAAGTTACTTGACACTGTGTCAATATAACAACCAAAAGACGGTAGTGTTGTGAGCAATATAAGCATTCAATCATAATTTGGTAAAATGAAAAATAACCATCAGTTACCTAGGCAATAGTAGAAAAAAAATCTTTAAAAAAAAGGATTTTGAAAAAGGTTAAATTTAAACACTATTTGTCAATATAACCTACATGTAAGATATGGTATACAAGATTTAATAGTCATCTTCTTCATTTAGAAGATTAAGCTGTATTGGATAAGTTTTCCCCTACTTAAAAAATCAGCTAGTGTTGCCCCCCTGTTTTTTGAGTGGCCTGTTTTAAAATTAAGGCAGAAAAACTATCAAAAAGGGTTATTGTCAAAATAACATACATTGAATTTGGATTTAATTTTGTCAACGAAGATCTGGGTTTACAACAACTACATAAAATATTTCATTTAAACTATAATAATTATGTTTACAAATATAATTGCTGTTCAAAAAACGTTTTACACAAGTTACTAGAAGAAAACTTTATTTTGGACATCTATAACATACTGATCTTGCTCAGAGCACTGACATTTCAGAACATCAGGGATATCTCTGTGAATTGGTCTATGATATAATGATGTTGAAAGATATTATGTGCAGCTAAGTATTGATACATTTCATTAATCCCATAAGAAACTATTTAAAACAAAAGATTGCACTATTGTCAATATAACTTACACAAAATATACAAGGAAGGTCAATTTTACAATAAAATGCTTCGCTGGGCGCAGCTTGATACGACCGCAGAGGTCGACCCCTGAACAGTTGGGGCAAGTATGGACACAACATTCAAGCTTGATACAGCTCTGAATTTGGATTGTGATTAAATATTTGACACAGCATAGGTTTCTGACACAGAAAGAATGTGGTCTAAGCACTTGAATTTTTTTAATTTACCTATTATGGTCCAATGTCCAAAATCAAAATACATGGTTAGATTCAGCATATCAAAAAAACCCATATATTTAATTTTTGTTGAAATCAAACAAAGTTTAATTTTGGACCCCAACTTGGACAAACTTGAAAACTGGGCCCATAATCAAAAATCTAAACACATGTTTAGATTCAGCATATCAAAGAACCCCAAGAATTCAATTTTTGTTGAAATCAAACAAAGTTTAATTTTGGACCCAAATTTGGACCAACTTGAAAACTGGGCCAAAAATCAAAAATCTAAATACATGTTTAGATTCAGCATATCAAAGAACCCCATATATTCAATTTTTGTTAAAATCAAACAAAGTTTAATTGTGGACCCCAACTTGGACCAACTTGAAAACTGGGCCCATAATAAAAAATCTAAACACATGTTTAGATTTAACATATCAAAGAACCCCATGAATTCAATTTTTGTTAAAATCAAACTAAGTTTAATTTTGGACCCTTTGGACCTTAATGTAGACCAATTTGAAAACTGGACCCAAAATTTAAAATCTAAATACACGGTTAGATTCGGCATAACAAATAAATAAATGTGGTCAAAGATTTTACAAATCTAATGCGCTATACTGTGCAATTAAAGATTACTTCTTGAAATTTTTCAATATTTGAAATTTGAAAAAAAATAATATTTGAAGAATAATTCTTTTTAATTTCTGAAATCTGAAATGAGAAAAAAATGACCCCCACAATTTCTTTTTACCCCCCCCCCCCCCCCCCCCACCCCCTTTGTTTCCCCAAAAAATTCTTTCCCTGAAGATATGGTCATTATCTCAATTCAAATTTCCAATGGAGTTTGCAGCCATAATTACCCATTTAAATTTACCATAGTGCTAACTTAATCTATTTTATAATAGAATTTAAAATATAGTGTCAAATCTTTCATA